TTGGATCACGCTGTACGTGTGGGTGTTTTGTTTCTTGGTGCCATGGTTCTCCGAAATGGGTGTGTGCTTATATCATATAATTTGCATATTTGTATTTGTGCGTTTATGTTATTGAGTGTGTATGATCTGAGTGTGAGTGTATGCGTGTGTGTATGTGTGTGTGTGTGTGTGTGTGTGTGTGTGTTGAGAGAGAGAGAGAGAGAGAGAGAGAGAGAGAAAATGATAGTGCTCTGAAAAATTGGGTGGGGGGGGATTTACTTTTGTTGCTGTTGCCATTTTAAGGGTACTTGAAAAAATTAGAAATGTCTTAATGGCAAGTTTATGAAGAAACTGTGTATGTGAGATTTGCAAACGAGATTGTTTAAAGACATAATAGCAATAGAAGTAGTCTTGTTTGACAAGAGAAAAAGAGCAAGATAATTCTCAATCAGACAATCAGAAAGTAGAAATAATATTGCAAAATTATTGGCTTCCACTTGCCACTAACATCATCATTCATCATCTCTGCCTTTCTCACGCTGCCCCAGGGTATGGGCCACAAACTAACACTTTCCATCTTTCTCTATAATCCTAGGTTAGATCTCTAGAATTCTAGAGATCTAGAATCTAGATTTAGATCTAGATCTAGATCTTGCCTCTTTTTTATGTTATTCCCGGCACATCAATTTCTGTGATTCACTTGCCACTAATAGTACCATTTAAATGTCTCTCTCATGAACAAAATCATTTATTCAAAGTAGATATATCTAGCGACAAGAAGAAAATAAAGCACGGTTAACTGGTAGGCCTAAAGATCTAGACTAGATCTAGATCTAGATCTAGATCTAGGTTGTTGTGCACTTACCAGCAGTCGGCCTTGGGTACTTTGCACCTGTGTCTGTGATTGTAGAGCCATTTCGTTTCCACTTTATTCTTCACCTCAGCTCTATGTCACATCCATATGAACTTTATGATAGTGTGGTCAGTGTAGTGATGGTGAAAAAAAAAGTTCAAAGCTGAAACACTCTCCTTCAACCCATTACGATGCGAAGAACAGGCCCGTGGAAACTGAAATTATCCAAGGCGGCCATTTTTAAACAAATTTGTCTTGCTTGTCAACCGTCGAAGATTCTTCAGCGAACTTGGATGCACAGTTTTCAGTGATCTACACACCACAATGAACTTTATAGAAGTATAAATGGCTTATAAATTCCGGGCTGAAGGTAAAGTAGTATCCAAAAAAGTAAACACAGGGGCAATACTTTTTTTTACACCCAAATTGCTCTATTTTCTCCGAAACTTTTTTCCACCTCTATTGATAGACAAGTTTTGACTCGCTTAACCGGTGTACACTCTATGTAATGTCCCTTACGGTGAATAGTCAATAAATGATACTCTTTTACTTTTCTCCTATATTCTAATTTTAATTCTTCTACCAGTAATGGGTGAAAGAGGTGAGAATGGGGGGGGGGGGGGCTGAAAACGAATTAAAAATGTTTTGCCTATACAATCGTTTGCTTATTACTTTCATGCCAGCCCTTCAAAGAACCACTTGCACAGTGAACGTCGACTATATTTGAGAAACATGTCAAATTAGTTCTCCCGTTTTCCATTTTGAGATTACATTGCACAGGCCTTACTATAGCACACAGAAAGAAGAAAAGAAAATAACTGCGTTTGAGATGCGGTGTTACGGCAGCATGGTCCGATTTAGCGAGAAAGAAAAAAAGGCTTAAAAAATGAATTGTGTCGGATTCTTCACACAAGATGAACCCTGTTTAACAAAATAAAAAGACCGGCAGAGACAGAGGGGCCGAGAGACAGATGCAGCAGAGAAATAGAGAGACAGAAACAGGGAGACAGGGATACAGAGACAGAGAGACAGAAACAGAGAGACAGAGACACGGAGACATAGACAAAGGGACCGTGAGACAGAGGCAGCAGAGAAACTATTTATAGAGAGATTGAGAGACAGAGAGGTAGAGACAGAGACAGAGGGACCGTGAGACATAGTGACCGAGAGATTGATAGACAGAGATAGGGAGGGGGGGAGAAAGAGAGACAGAGACGCAGAGACAAAGACAAAGAGACATAGACAGAGCTCAGGGATGGAGAAAAGGGGTGGGGGGATAAAAAGCGGTAGTATAAGAACGTATATAATATAGGGTTATGCCCTTCGCTGTGACATGCAGGAGACCCAATTTAGCTTCCCGAATGTGTGTGTGTGTGTGTGTGTGTG